TGACGGACGCGGCTCGGCGGCGCCTCGGCTGTAGAATAAAGTTCTGCTGTTTGGGGCAGCGTGGACTGGTTTGTGGCCGTGGTGCCTCCAGAGGGGCCCCGGGAGGGCGGATTTTGGGGGCTCTGCGGCAGGAGCGGGAAAACGATTATCCTTATCCGAGTCCTTGGATGAGGCCCATGGGCATCCTGGGAGCTTTTGGTCACCATGTTTGCCTCGTGGGATGATGCTCTGGGAGGAATCCCGGGTTTTTACCCTTTACAAACCCCACCGCCCTGCCCAGGCCTTCCTCCCGCTAGCTCCAGAGGGAGGAATTCCAGCCTTCAGAGCCTTTTTCCTTGGAAAAGCACCAGAAGCCGCACGGGGCTCTTCCCCGCACCTCTCCTTTATTCCATCCTCCGGCAGCTGCTTACAAAACGGGAAGGGGATTCCGGCTCCGGGAATCTCGAGAGCCAGGAGCGGAGCAGGGAGCGGGGTTCCGGGGTCCTCCTCGCGCGGCGAGGCCGAAGGCTACGCCTTGGTGGTCACGGCCTGCGCGGCCCCCAGCGCCGTCAGCTGCTGGATCTTCTGGCTTCCCCACCGCTGCGGCGGGAAGAGGCGGTCGCCGGGGGCGGTGACGGGGGGACGTCCCGGGGCGCCCCGCGGCGGGGGCAGCTCCTTACCCTGCTTCATGGCGTGTTTCTCCTGCAGCGCCGGCTGGATTTTCTCCATCTGTTTGGTCAGGAAGTCGATTTTCCGCTTGAAAAAGTCCCGGGCGTCATCCGCGGTCTGGGCGGGCGGAGAGGAGAGTTCCCGGGTCACGGGTTGGTGTCCCCAAACAGGGAGCGACACCCGGGGGTGGCTCCGGCCCCGTTGCCGCGCAGCCCTCACCTTCTCCACGTAGTAGCCCGTGCCGACGTCGAGGAGGACGCGCTCCACGTCCAGGAGCTTCCCGGGAACGTACATCTGGCGGCACCGCGGGTCAAGGGAAAACAGGGAGCCCGAAAACCCAGCGGCTCCGGGAGCCGAGTGCTCCGAGAGGAACCCGGATCCCCCCGAGGGGACACGGCCAACAAGAACCGACCCCCAAGCCCTGGCAGGTGGCACCCGCTGTCCCCATTAGCGAAAGAAGAGCTAACGTCACCGGATCAGCAGGGCTGGCGAAGGATACGGAGCTGGTGAGCGGCACCAGCAGGTCCTTCCCTGCGGGAAAGGAGGCAGAAAGGCCGGTCTGAGCGCAGGGGACAGCGGGGACGAGGGCCGGCGCGCGGGGCCGCCACTCACCCTCGTTGCTCTTGTGCAGCACGGCCAGACAGTCCTTGGCCTCCACGTACTTGGTCTGCACCACCTTGAGCTGCGCGATGGAGGACGACAGGAACTCCACCTCCTGCGGCGGTGCGGCCGTGAGCGATGGGGTGTCCCCGGCGGGGTGTCCCCAGTGGGGTGTTCCCAGTGGGGTGT